AAAGCAAGCATAATAGTTTCACGTCGGTTTTCTGTGAGGCCGTGGTATCACTCCGGTCGAGCCAGCCCAATCGTGCCGAAGCATAGCTCTCCCACAATTAATGTAACATTGTAATTATTAAGTATATATACTAAGATATAAACTACTTTGTAAATCAGATAAGTACAATAGTACAAGTTAACAGACATACCTACTACATTTATTTCTAGAATTTTACATACAATTGATGTTCTCATTTCCTCGCTTTGATTCGACCCATTAACAGACTGACTGTTGGCCTTTTAGACTCAATACTTTAAAGGTCTCTAGATTAATAACTAAAATAAAAAGATTTTATTAAAGTAATATATTAGAGAATACAACTTTTGAACTAGAATGATTGATTAGGACAACCAGTTTTAGCAGTTTTGTTTGCTCATGTATTGGAGAGCTAAGTTTTTGACCTTACACTGCATGCTTAGTTTATAAGCTGTGTTCTTAGTGTACACCTACGCTTCTGTCTGTAGATTTTAATTATCCGACCTGCAAATTTCCCCCTTAGATCACACTAATCTTGTAAATACTCGCATCAAAATCCCTTGCGTATTTTTAAAGATAGACATAGACAGCAATAAGCGACTTGGTTTCATACTATCTAGTGACAGTGATGAATTCGCATTGGCGCATTGTTTCACCTTCTAAGGTGCTCATAGTGTAACACTACTAGCTCGTACTTTGACCGTCCCTAGTCGAAGCTTCTCGACCAACGAAACAGTCTTTACGAAGCTAGCCATGATCAAAATAATACAGCGATAGATAGCATTATATTGACCTTTAATAACGTGCTAATAAAGTTCTACATTATACACAACATGGAAGTTAAAATTCAAACCAGTTTCTTCATGCCACTTTATTATTAAAGCGGACTACTTATGGATGTACTTTTTGCCTATTAAAATATTGCATAACATTACATCACGTCTTTTATCCCCGAAAAGGTAGGCAGATATGCACCTTACGGCATTAAATGCCACTGTACAATGTAACACCCGCTTTTCACTATTTATGTTATGAGTCCCATATATTAGGGGGTGAGCCTATGGCCATATACTGGTCAGAGTTCGTGCTACTACTGATATTTTTTTAAGAAACCCAGTAATTCTCTCCCAATCCGGGAATCGGACTCTAAACCCTTTGCCCGGCAGTCGCACTTGGGACCACTCGGCCAACGAAGCAGTACATTATAAAGCATTGGTATATTTATTTCTTTTTTCACAGCCAAACAGAAAACATACGGCTTCGGATATTTATTTCTCATACCATTTGCATTGACTTGACTGAGCAATACAAAATATACATAAGTATATACCTACATATATAATGCGAACCAGAAAAACCTAAAAATAAACCAAAATCATTATCATACGCAAGATACTGTCAAAAATAAATAAACACAAGACACACATTCATATTCAACAACAAAAACAGTACGCGACTCCATTATAGAAACAAAACCACTGTTCTACGTGTCACTCGGACTTGTCCAGTTTTCTCTTTCAATATGGAACGGGGAAAACAATGGGGTAGACATTCATTGCATGTATTTTTCTTGTCACGCAGATCATTAACATGTGTTTGCGTTGTAATTAGCTTGAAATTGGTATTGTAGGTTAATGACCCCATGTGTCATTAGAATGAGTCGTATGTGTGTGTGTGGTATGTATTCTTCCCTCTTTCTTTTTATCGTGTACGGAATAGTGTATTGTTTAGGATTAGAACTTGTTTGTTGGTTTGTACGTTTGTGTGCATGTGCCATACTGTCTTTCACTCAATCTTTATTACAAGTCAATGTTTCTTATATTAGAAAGAAGAAAGACGGAAAGAAAGAAAAAACATTTATTTGGCAATTACACGCACAGAAAACAAGGAATATAAAAAAATAAAAATACATATATATGTAGGATCAGGAGCACCGAGCGGCGTATCGCCTGGGTTTGGAGTCCCCATTTTGGTGGGATAAACAAGATAAAATTATTAACAAAGAATTTATTTACGGAAATCAATAAATCAATAAATACTAACTAAAACTAAGCTAGGGCACACACAAAAAAATAATACAAGTCAAGTCGACTAACGAACAGACCTATAAGATCACGGTTCGTACAGTGGCAGCGCCACCCCTGAGAGGTTACAAAGTGTATCGGCTAATGAGCAACAATACAGCTATGTAGAATATACAGCAAGGCTGTACCGGGTAAACCGACAGTTTTGTCGGGAGCGAGGCTCTAATCGAGTCAGATCCGAAGATGAGACTGCCGCATAAATCAGTGCAGGCTCTTATATAGGGCGATGCCGCGATGCCCCCTCTTTGCACTCCCTCCACAACAACTCTGTCCAATGGCGCACTTCTGCCACGCGTTTACCAAAAAACTAACATACTCTAAATCTAATAACATTTAGATAGTTACAATTAACCAAATATTACAAGAATAATAATTGTCGTAAATAAACAATGATGATTTAACAACGATAAACAGACTTTACAATAATAAGATGACAAGCAGTTATTTGTTTTGAACAGAACCAACAACGTTTAAGTACTTTTATCGAATATGTTGCCAAAATCAATTCGTAGGTAGTCGATAAATCATGTTTCAAATTTACAAAAAGTAATTAGTAATAAAATCTAACATTAAATCAATAATTGGAACAAATTGAATTAATTGCCACAGATTATCTACAATTTCCTTTGGCAACCATCTTCGACATATATAAACAAAATACGAATAATAAACTTACAAGAATAGAGATCAGAACAGACAATATATCAAAACATCACAATATAACAAAATAATAATACGATAATAACAGAATTTTGAATAGACAATAAAAAAAAAGAAAATCTAATAAACAAAACAATAATATTAATTTTAATTTGCGCATGCTAATGCCAAAAGGGCCTCCACCTCAGCATATAGTTGGACGTTTGTGCCCAACGCTGGTTTTCAGGTGGCACCCTGCAGTGACTCACGGACGGCGGTGCCGCCCCTCAATGAAGACAGAAAATAAACATGAAATTGTATAAATAATATAATATTAGATTAGCAGTCCAGTAGGGACTGCTTTGATTTGTATCTTTGAAATATTGACTTAAAATCAAAGTCAAATGTGAATGCATTCAGTTATTTGACACTATTGATTAGGTTCAAATATACATTCTGTAACAATTTAGGCAATAGGTGATCTATTTGAACAAGTGACAACCCAATAGGCTAGTTTCCTAAATTTTATTTTAATATCCGTCTGGTATATTATTTGAAAACATTAGATACGTATTTCTCTTTTCTCGCAAAATTAAATGCTTTTGACGATGTATTGATTTGAAATGTCTAGTGATGTCACAGCGTGCTACAAAATGTAGCACGTTTTGACGTAACGACCTCCCACTCCTTAACTCCATTTTATCTAAGTATTGTAACTTTATACGAGAAAATAAAAAATACGTGTCTAATATTTTTTCATTATTTAACTGACGGACTAATTAGATTTTTAACCTTGGAAACTACCCAATTATAATAAACTCCAAGCCCTTTTACAGGCATTGCAGAATCCGGAACTACCTAAACAAATGTTCACGGTCTACCGTCCTCGTGAACTACGGATATTATTAGGTGACTGTGCCAAACAATGATTAACAATAGTAGACACACAACTATTATTTTTGTAACCAATATGACGCATTTGGATCATGCAAATAGGCAGTTTTTTTTCTTTTTAATTCATTTTCATTGTACTTGGATAGTAGGAAACTAGAAACTACATATTATGTAGGAACTTGTTATTTCCGTATGAATCCTCATTTGATTTGGTGTTTTTAAGGGGGAAAATCTTCGAATGACTTCTCCCGCCTGGGTGAGGCGGAAGGGAGTGTCAGACTCTTACTGACTAAAAACCATCCCGTTCCTCCTCCTGCACTGAGCTGGAGCCCCGGTAACCCGTTAGGTTGTCCGCGGCTCCGAATCGGCATCAGCCCTATTGGGCCTATTGGGCCTATTGGGCTATGACTCCACAAAAATAATTTGAATTGTTCTATGTTAATTTTCCTTATCTCAAAGTTTTTTATTCCCCACAGCTATTTTACACCTAAGTGTCTTTTTGTAACCACACCCAAAGATTCGCTATCAAGATAACAAAACTACACTTCGTTCTATGATTAATTCAGTTCAAAGTAACACTACACTGGACAATCCTTTCTTGAAAAACAAAAACAAACAGAAACGTTTGGAGTGGCTAAAACAAATAATGACATTACATACCTTACAATAGAAGGTAACGTATGAAGTATTGATGACGTACCGACGTACAGTTGATTAGTAATATTGAAGGTCGAACATACCTCTACAGTACCAACAAAAAAACCGCAAACTGACTGATAGACAGACAGTAATCACGCGTGGTATAAATAAATATAATAAACTAGGTAGTGCTAAAAGGCAAAAATGTATGATATTATTTCATTATCGAATCATTTTCTAGAATACTTTTTGTTGGTCTAATTTACAAAAACGTTGCGTAAGACTAGACTAAGAGCCGCGAAGGACTTAACTGGTTGCCGGGGCTCCAGCTCGTAGGGCAGGAGTAGGAACGGGGGCGTTAGTCTGTATCAGTCTGTAAGAAGAATCTGACACTGCTTCTCCTGCTTCTCGTCTCATCCGGGTGATAACAGAGGCAGTGATGATTTTCCCCCCTTAAAAAAAAGACTGGACTATCTCTACAAAAGATGGGTTCGCCATTAGCTTGCCATTAGTTTGCCAATGCTTGGCAGACAGATGAATTGGGTAATGTAGGCTAACATCAACTTATTCTTTGATAAAATACTGCTACTCGATCTCTGCCAAACGTGTAGTGATGTAGTTCCTTTAATCGGCTCATATAGCATCCGCAAGAAGAGTAGGAGTGGTGGCAAATTTACTCTGCCATCTTTACAGGTGTTTAAAAAGTAGTAAAATTATTAATTCCAGATGTCAGTTCTACGAGCTATTGCAGTGTTTCTATGCGGTTTCTTTTCACTGAGGCTATGCAGAGCGCAGATCATAATGCCCGGCTCCTGTCCCGATATGAAGGCTATGGACAACTTCGATGCTACTCGAGTAAGTACATTATTAATAACATAACATCACGCCTTTTATTCCTGAAGGGGTAAGCGGAGGTGCAAATTACGACACTTTCGTCCAAATACTCAATCGACACTCAATTTTAATTTACTTTAAGTATTTTTGTGTGACACATTTTTTTTTAAATATAACAGATATGGCACGATATGTAGTACAATTTATAATTGAGTAGCCTTTCAGTATTCGAATGTTAATGCCACTGTACAATGTAACACCCACATTTCACTATTTATATTATGAGTCCCATGTAGTAGGGGGTGAGCCTATTGCCATATACCGGGCACGATTCCAGACTCCATGATACTACTGAGATTTTTTATAAAAACCCAATAATACTTTGCCCGACCCGGGAATCGCACACGAGCCCCTTGCCCGGCCGTCGCAATTGCCACCCCTCAACCAATGAGGCGCTTATAATAATAACTTTTGAATATTGTAGTTCAGCTAGATTATTTAATATTTGTCTGTTTATTAGCTTAATTGACAAATACGTTATACGTATACGTGAAATTATCCGTCAGTTAGACTAACAACAACTTAATTAGACGTTATATAACAGGTTCTTAATGTTTTTACGTACGTAATCTCATTAAAGCCTAAGCTTTAGCCTTGTCAAAATTACTTTGGCATTATTTTTTTAAAACTCGTAATCTGAATGTGAATAATTGGTATGACATGTGGTAAAAAAATAATTATACAAAACTCATAAAAAAGTTTCCTTATTATTAAACCTTTTTTGCTTCATTTTAATTTTATTCATCAGACACGGATTAGTGGAGTACTCCGATGGCTATCAACTCGTATTTTTTTTTAATTTTTCGGAAATAGAATTAGCGCGGAAACTGGAATAGTGCCCAGTGCATGGCAATAAGTTCACACTCTATTAAACGAGCCTTATAACATACATTACTCATCTATACTTTATTGCAACATACAGAAAAAAAAATGTTAACATTGTAAGTACAATGGGCGGTCTTATCATACGCAGCGATTTTTTCCAGACAACGTTTGGTTAGAATTTTTGAAAGAATCTGGGAATGGGTGGGTAGATGCACAATAATTGTAAAAGGAAAAAAGAAAACAAAAAAAAACTAGTTAAACAACTAACAAAATGTATAGATTAAATATATATTATACACTAAAACTACTATACATTATGCACACAAGATTGTAACTATTTATATTTGAATATTTCAGTATACGGGGAGATGGTACGAAGCCGAAAAATATTTCTTCCTATTCGAGTTTGGAGGCAAATGCGTCACTGCTGACTACACGCTGAGAGAGAATGGAGTCGTCGGAGTTCTAAACCGGCAGATTAATATTCTGTGAGTATGGAGGTAGATCTTTCTAGCTATCTACATCAATAGCCTGTGAGAGTTCTCGGCTGATCCCAGGACCTGTTCTACATATGAGTATTATGCCATATTATGTACCTTTTTATGGGATAAGCCGGTAAACAAATAGAAGGATCGCCTGATGGTAAGCAATCGGCCTCGCCCATGGACACCTGGAACACAAGAAGCGTCACGAGTGCGTTACCGGCCTTTTAGGATTGTTCTACCTCTGGTAACCTCACTCACACGATGAAACTAAACGCAAGCGTTGTTTCACGTCGGTTTTCTGTGAGGCCGTGGTATCACTCCGATCGAGCCGGCCCATTCGTGCCGAAGCATGACTCTCCCACACTTAAATTACCTATTCTATATTTCTGAAACTTTTAAAAATAAGCATCCCTATATAGTAGAAAAGAAGAATCAACCATTTATGATATCTAGACGAATTTTACTAAATATTAAGTTTTATTGTACTAAAATGCATAACAATTTCCGGTGCTTTGTTTAGCCACATAAGAAAAGTATTTAGTCCAAAATGTTCTAAACTACGTGAACTCTGACCTGATTCAAAGTTTTTTAATTAGCTTACGCTTAGCTTTACGGTACTTCCTTGTCTCAGTTACGGTTAGTCCAAAAATAGCGGTCTATTCATTATTTAACCGTTAGCTGTTTTCAAAAAGAATGCTGTTTTGTCTTCCAAAATTGATGGTAGTGACTGCACTATTATCTTCGCCTTAAATAAGTCACCGTTTGAATGGAATGTCAGTATGACAACATAGTTATTGACAACATAGTTCCATCCTAACGAAATTTAGAAAAAAATCTATTATAGATAATATGGATGATGACAGGGTATGAAAATTAAAAATGTAATTAGTCCGTCAGTTAGGTAATGAAAAAATATTAGATACGTATTTTTTTTTATTTTGTCGTATAAGAAAACAATACTTAGATAAAACGAATAGGTACGACGACGAAAACGAAACAAAGTTTAGGAGTGGGGAGGTAGCTACGTCATTTTAGAGTATAAATCGTACTCAAAGTGAGGTCATGCGATATTTTAAATCAATATATCTTCGAAATTATTCGTTTCCGTAAGAAAATAGAAACGTGTCCAGTGTTTTTAAATAATCTACAAGATGGACATTAAAATAAAATTGAGTCATCTACCCTATTATTATGATGTAGATTGATGTGACGAAAACCTTACAGCTAATAATCGAAATCTAAAGTTTTTAATTTAGTTATATTAGGTAGGTACAAAATGAAATCGCAGTTCGAAAAACTAACAAAGAAACTGTCGTTTAATTAGCTCACAATTTGCTAATTCCACGACCTTACAGCGACCTTGTAGTCGTAGTAGTAAATTGTACTAAATTCTTACTTAATGTATACTACTAAGTGTGATTGAATACAACATGGTAACCGTTCTGTAAACATCTAGCTAGAGTTTAACAATAAAATTTATTTATTTAAAACCTTACCTAAAACTATCATTACAGTTTTCTCCATTGCGAAAGTTAAGGCCTAAAACTAAGTCTAAGTAACTAATTACTAATTTCAAACAAGACAAAACGAAATAAAAAAAATCATACACATATACACAACCATAACTATGACTTAAAATGTATCAATACTTTCGATATCAATCCATCAAGTGAAACAAGTGAATTTATTTCTGCAAATAGGCTACAAGGTAGCACTTTTACACGTCAATTTTATCAAGCGAACGATGAGGCCAACATTACCTAACTGACTACTCTAAGAAGAAATGCCCAAACAAAATCAGAGGTCCATCTCTCTTAAAGTCCAGACAAATATGTATAAACGATTATGTGTGAGAACCGTGCAAGTTATCATCATGTTAGTTACAGTTCATCAAGATTTTCAAAATATTTTCTTCTTCTTTTGCTTTTCCCACTAAACCTGAGTATGTCAGCAAAACTAACAATATCAAATTGAAACGATTCCATATAAACATACAATGAAACATTAATACGTTCTATATAGTCCATTGAGTCTGGCCGTCGCATCGTCCTAGATACATGTAATGTTTAACAATATTACGAACCAATTCGGTTGACAATAATATCATTCATTCGATTAGTATGGGCACGACAAACTTCATAAAATTGAAGAATGCAGTTGTAGACGAAGAGTTTGAATGATCGTCTTCAGTATATAAATGTCCTTCCTAGTTCTGAGCAAGGGTCTCATCTTACACGAAATATAAATAAATACGATTGCTAAAAATGGATTATCTATTACGAGGGAAGAGGTGCAGTGCAGTATAATATGAAACCGTTACATATGTGTGATATTCCGCCGAATGCAGCTACTGATTCGTCTTTATATTATAACTTTCGTGAGACATACTAAATTAATCATTATGTTTTTCGGCTTACTCACGTAATTATTTGACGAGGAACTCGACTAGTTTCAAGCTATACTAGAGGCTCATATTCATGAACTGTATTTCACGATTTGCGACGCGGCACTACACTACTGGCTACTAAGTAACCAGTCAAAATTAGAAGATTATCATCATCAACTATAGTTTTTCATTCAGCATTGATTCTTTAAACCCATAATTAACTAGTTGCTTCACTTCTGTTTCCAGATCGGGAACTCAAACGGAGATCAAAGGCCAGGCAACTCAAGTGAGCCGATCAGATGACGCTAAACTGGCAGTATCCTTCCCATCTTTACCGGTCAACGTTGAGGCTCCCTACTGGGTCATCGATACTGACTACAAGTCCTATGCTGTAGTATGGAGCTGTTACGAATTTGGACTGTTCCATACTTGTAAGTTCTATACTGTGGTTTTATGTTATTTCTATATTTTCAGTTCTTGAGCTAGACATTAGCTAGAGATCTTGGGCCCAACTTTTAATATGTTTTACAGCTAAAAAGCACTTTAAAGACCACGACATCACGCCTTTTATCCCGGAAAGGGTAGGCAAAGGTGCACATTATGCCGCTATACAATATAACACCCACTTTTCACTATTTATGTTTTGAGTCCCATGTAATAGGGGGTGAGCCTATGGCCATATACCGGGCACAATTTTAAACTCCATGCTACTACTGAGATTTTTTTTTTAAACCCATTAATAGAAATTATATATAAATTCTACTGAATACAAAATTCTCTAACTTCCAGTGAACGCCTGGATCCTGACGAGAGAAAGGAACCCACCAGTGGAAGTAATGGAGAAAGCATATGCAGTACTGGACAAGAACCACATCAGCCGAGCGTACCTCATCAGAACGAACCAGCGTGACTGTACAGAAGAGAGCTAAAATAAGAATAATGATACATAGAGAAAGACTCATTTCTAAAGAAATTATCAATGAAAAAAGTCGTTATTTTAGACGGTGTAAAAAAGAAGAAAAATAATTTATTTAGTTTGTGTAGGTGAATCAAGTGAATGAATGTTGGAATCGGAAGCCTAATCAAATCTAAGGTGTGATTCCATAAAAAATATCAGACAATAGAGACACATTTGCGTTTAAAACTAGCAAAAATAGTTTATTCAGTACTACTTTCTGCCCACGAATTTGTACGCATAATCCCGTTTTCTCCCGTTCTCGTAGGATTTTCAGAATTTTTTCTGTCTTAAGAATACAAATACAAATACAACAAAAAAAAGATGATTGAAATCGGTCGAGCCGTTTACGCATGATGGCGTAACCAAGGGAAAAAGGGATTAATTTTTAAAATATTTATAAATTTCATTGTTGATTAACCATTTTAATTGTTGTAGGTTGTAGTGTTACAAGCGTTCATAGGCCACGGTAACTCCTTTCTATCAGTTGGGCTGTGAGTTATTTACGTCAATCCTTTATTGGGTCCAAAGTAATACAATAAGCTTCTAGAAGAGGTCTTCTAAAATATTGTATTGAATATTAATCATTTACTTTAGTGTAAGTTCATTTTCATTGTACCTATGTAAGCATTCATGCATTTATTTAATCTTAGAAAAGTATTATACTATCGCATCGGTGTCCATTTTCATGACCTCTTACAAAATTATCACAAAACGCTTATGAAAATGGACGCAGCTTATAAAAATATATGTAATATCAATTCTACTGTAGTATTGATTGTTTATTATACTTAAATTGAAGTGTGAATAGTTAGGCCTTAAATCTCGACTCGTGAGAGTCTGAATTTCGCAATCCTACCGCCCTGAGACCCTCAAATACTGTTCCCCAAAACTTTACTTACGATGGTGGGTGACTGTGTCAATAGCTGCGTCTTTTACTTAAATATTATTATTAGTTGCAATACATACGTATGTATACTTCTATGTTTCATTAAATAAAAAAAACAATATTTTTTTGTAAAGCTGAAACTCATAGCATGTATTTGGAATATTGAATTAGGATCATTTAGATTAATTTAGTAAATAAAACGATACATACGTCACAACAGAAATGTATAATATCCATTATCTACAACTTAAATAAATTAAAGCCTTTACAAAATTGCTTACTCTTATTTATTGATAAAATAATGCGATTAAAGTTAATTATGTAGTACTACGATGACGAATCTTTTCATTTTTCTCCCAATATCCTTAAGTTTAAAACTTATGTTACTTAAAGAACATACTTCGAATCAAGGGAACTTAATTATATTATTTTTTAGACTACTTCCCTTTCCTATTTGCGCATAATTTCAAACAACCCAAATGAATTCTATCAATCTTGGCTACGCTCAATAATCTTTAACACGATTCTCGAAAATTCGAGATAGATTTTAACAATCTCAAAAAAGTCGAAATCTTTTACATTTCTTTTTTCTTTTACGATATTTTTGACAGTTTTGTGCAAAGATGGTGCAGCCTTAAGTTGGGGTACTGTCATCCGAATGCCAACTTTTCCTGTGTTCTCCAGTCGCTTCATCATAGCTCGGTGGTGGTGGAAGGTTATCACTCTTGGTCTTCGTGGGAGGTTTAGCTGGTAAAGCTAGGCGGTCCTCTTCAGCTTCCTCTGGGATGGAATCACGACGCCTCGGGTCATATTCTGAGAGAGCCGGTTGCGATATGTTGTTCCTCTGCCCTAGTCCCACTAGAACTAATTTTGGGGCGCTTTGTGCTTGCTGAAATGTAAAAGGTTTCAATTCTTAACTGCTATGTTGATAACAATTTGAGATGGTATTTTTGTCGGGTGCATGACCAACTTTCAAGTTTAATAAAATAACGAAGGCCTACCAAATGGCCCTTATTTTATAAGCACTTATGAAGGTTGATCGGTATAATGATATAATACTAGGGCTAGAAATTATCTACGTCTTATAGAGAACAATGTCCTCAAAATAACGTTTACTTGCCGCAGTGGCACGTGATAAAGCACAATAAATACAAAGTACTTATTAAAATTTCCATGCAAATAGTTAGAGCACAAACTTGAAGGTAATTTACGATCTAGAACATAATATTTATAACTATGGATACCTATATTCTCAGTACTTTTTTACTATCTTAAGCTACTTTGCTATATTAATCAGTTGTAAATTTTAAATGCTACGTCACAGATAGACCGTGCAAATAGAGGCATAATGAAGATCATACGCAAGGTTTCATACTATTTGCTATTGTATCAGATAATTAAATAATGTCAATACATTTATATCCTTCACTAATTACGTATGAAAAATTGTTGGTAAAATATTTGTTGTTAACATCCCATGTGATTTGGTCTTTGTTTCTGTTTTTTGTGGTATTTTTCTTTTCTTACTACTGTTTGATGAAGCAAATGTTTTGTGTGAAGTTATGTGAATTAATTAATTACTGCTAAAAATTTCCCTGGCGGAACAGGAACGTCATCATTGTCTGCCTTTGCTTCCCTATCATTAGAAAATTAAACCTTACTTTAGTTAATTAAACCAAAAAGTGGTGACATATAAGAGATTTATTTAAATATTTCTTACAAGTCCCTTTATCTATTCAAGTAGGCCTTGTTGTATTTTTATTCTATTGTGTATCAACTAGATCTCACCTTGTAATGATTTGAAGTTCTATTACTGCACAAGCTGTTATTTGAAATATGTCCTCGACCATGTTGATGGCTTATTTCGATGGCAGATCGAAGCATATCCACCTTCGAAGCAGAACCTTCATAGTTGCTGCCTCGTCTTTGGCTGTTGCTACCGCTGCGGCTGCGACAATGCTCGTTAATGTCACCTTGGGAGAACTGGAAGATGAAGTTTAAGTAGATTAGCTGTAGTCTCCATAAATTGTTGCTTTTTCAAAATTGTAGATAAGAATGAAAAGTCTCTTTTGTTGCAGTAGAAATGTAAGTTTCTTCATCCTGAAGCATATCTAAATTAAGATAGCTGAAGTTCTATATTCAACATTTTCAAAAAGAAAATTATCGTATCAACCGTCACATACCCTCGAACGTGAGCCCCTTGGCAAGGAATGTAGAGAGCCCAGTGGATTGAAGCGTGTGATCATGTGCAGTCGCTCCAGAGATATCATAGTCTCTGCATCTTTAGTCAACGGTTCTGCATTCAGCTTGTCACCTTCTCCACTTTCTGTAAGAACAGGATTTAATAGATAGTAGTCCATTTTATCATTTTCTGTCATTTATAATACCTATTTAGTCCATCTACGACCTACAGCCAGCACCAGCTAGCAAGAAGACAACTTGGAGTAGCTCGAAAGAGGCATTCTCAGATTTGAATATAATATCTTGATATTCATTATTATGACATGCAGTCACAAGTAAATTGGGTTTTATCTGTACCTACTTGAATGAAGAAATTACAATATTTACCAATATTTTCACCTGTATCCGGGTCACAAACGCTCTGTACTCTAGTCATGTTGATGTTTTTCAACCAGAAGTAATGAAGCAAGCCATATAGAACTCCTCCGAGGAAGGCAATCAGTCCCATGTAACGGAAGGCTTCTCTAGTACCGAGCGTTGCGATGAGGAGCCCACCGCCAAAACTGCCACTACCCCTTCCTAGTAAAATAAAAAGTTAATAAAACAAGAAGAAAAGTACACCAAGTATCCAATGAAGTTGCTGATGTAAAAGCACTGAGTGAAAAATACCTAAAAATGATCATAATCTATAAAAATGAATTGCTGTTCGTCAGTCTTACTAAAACTTGAAAACGACTAAACCGATTTGGCTAATTTTGGTTTTTAATTATTTAGAGAAGTCCAAGGAAGGTTTAAAAGAAGAGTAAATAAATGTATTTTACGCAGTACGGAGTTTGCCGAGTCAGCTAGTAATAAATATATTCTTGATAGAAATGTATTTACAGCCATATCTAACAAAGTAATAGTAACCTTTCCGAAGTAATTTAATGACGGCTTATGCGATTGTTTTCACACATGACGCAAAATGTTATCTGAATTCGAATCGTAAAGTAAGTTGTAATTCTTTGTATGGCTTAGATTTGTTCACTATTTGTGCAAGGATGAGAAAATACACTATTTGAGAAGGACGATCGTTTATCTTATTTCCCTAACAGTCTTCTGTTTTCTTGTTTATTATTCAGCTTACCTATTCCTCTTTGTATTTTTAAACGAATCAATATTTGACTGAACATTTTCAAGACACGTTTAAAAGTCACCAGTAAATCTAAACTGTTTAGTGTGTAAAGCTCTTTACACCTAATTTTTTTCTAACTTCTAACATCACCATGCAAAATGTTTATATTTAGCACTAATAAAGTTAAAAATCAACTTACCAAGACTGAAATGCGCCATTCCCAGCACTCCAATCAACGTGGCTAAGAGACTCTTCGGTGCAAGCATTGCGCAGTAAGTAGCTGCTGCGACCCACATCAAATGTACTGACAAAGATTCCATGGCTTCAAATGGAAAACACCACCACGAATTTCTGGAAGCAAAATATAAAAAATATTTAAGTACTTTCGAAGTATTTCAGTTTGTATGTACTAGGAATAAAAACAGCTTTTAATCATAAAAGACATAATACAAATTGACTACCGCTTGTTTGGTGTTCCATAAATCAGCGGAAAGTTGTTAAACTGCAATTGCGAACACCAGAACTAGATACTTATATTTTTGATCAAATGTTATATTTTGTAACCTTGTAAGGGGTTTCACAAAAATTTGCGGTAGTTGTTACATACTAAAAAGCTCGCTGATTCACTAAAAAGTTATCTACTGGCTACGTGTAATCTAAGCAAATATTCAAATTCCTGTAAAGTCATTGCTAGTATCAAATCTACTCAAAGGTCTTCTAATAGACCATTACACTTTGTTTATTTAGCCTTAGCCTTACTTCTATTTAATCACTACCTGTTTCATTTTCCCTTTTACCTGTCAAAGGTTCTTGTAACAATTATATTTATTCCAACCTAATCTTTGCTTTCAATAGAGTTCACTTCGCGTCGCTTTATACAATTACATTACCTATTTTCGTTTCATTGTCCATAGCATGAGTTACTACAGTAGGCACTACATCAGGTAAGTGTTTGCATTAGAGTCCTCCCACACAACATCATTGTGCTCATAAACTTGGCAATGCTGTTCCGTCGTAAATACATTAATCTTGAAAATGGAGTTTTAATGTCTAAGGACATTTCTGTGCCAGTTTATAGTTACGGCTTAATCTAATGTGGCTTCTTTCATAAATTGTTAGTTTGATTCTCCGGACAAAATTATAATGCCTATTACGATTTACAGTATTGCAACTGGTTTTGCTGCTGTAGGCTATAAAGTTGAAAATGTAGAAGAGAATTAATCTATTCATAAAATCCTTTTACACTGTAAGTAATTTTAGGATATTATGAATTCTTGTATAGGGACTCCTGTATTCCTAGTGAATGTTTTTAGAATCTCTAAATTGACAGGGATGTAATCAATTGACCTATTAACTTCTAAAAGTATTCCTGCTCCTGGTCCTGCTGCTGCTCCTGGTATGCTGGTCCTGGTATATCAGGACCAAAATTTTTCAATGCAATTATTTTTAATAGTAAGGATGTCACATCATTCATCAAAGGAAACTGGTCATTCTGGTGTGTGGGCCGGGATAAGCATCAGTTATATACCCAATCATTACCGTAACGTTTCCTGCGAATAAATTACGCAGCTTCAACATATTTCCGTATATGTCATGTCGACCTTATATCATTATCACTAGCTTCACTACGTTTTAAGAAATATTTATTATCCTTGTGTAATAGGTAACTTCCTAAGGAAATAACAGGTTGACCTGAAAAGAGATGGGGCCTTAGACTTCTTTGCTCAAACGGATTGGAACAAGATGGTAGCTCTGGCTAAGATAGACGAATTCGTACGCGTTTGAATATTTAATCTCGTTTTACTAATAACCCAAACCGCAAGCTAACTCGACAATCGCGCAGTTAATATTTTTTTAGGTATCTATCATGTTCATGTCATACCGAAATGTTTTATACTCGTACACCAATATTCCATAAAGTTTTTCTTAAACATAGACAGTAAAAGCCATGTCTACAGATGCATTGTATCTAAATATGTCAGTGCCAGGGTTGCACTTATCAAGTACTCTATGAACACTATTGTGTACAAGACAATAA